TATATATATTATTGTCATTAGACTATTTACGTTGCATCGATAACCATATATAAATATATTATTCAAATTAACAAGGATTAAATGTCAACTTGAGCTTTTGTATCTTACTTTAGTACAAGTTTTACAGCACGTACAACACAATAAGGTGAAAGAAGTGCTGAAGATTAGAGGTGCTACAAGAGAGTAACAAAAACAAAAAAGAAGGAGAGAGAGAGAAGGACGATAGATGTTTGAACAGAAAGAAGGAGCAAACCACACCAGAGCACCCGCCAACCACCCACTCGGCAGTTGTGTGTGTGTGTGTTTGTGTGTGTCTGTATGTGTGTATGTCTGTGTGTGTTTGTGTGTGTGCGTGTGTGTGTGTGTGTGTGTCTGTATGCGTGTATGTCAATGTGTGTTTGTGTGGAGCGCGCACGCGTGTGTGTGTGTGTGTGCGTGTATGTCTGTGTGTGATTGTGAGTGTGTGTGTGTGTGCGTGCGTGCGTGCGTGTGCGTGTGCGTTTGTGTCTATATGCGTGTATGTCTGTGTGTGTGTTTGTGTATGTATATGTGTGTGTGTGTGCATGTGTGTGTGCGTGTGCGTGTGCGTGTGTGTGTGTGTGTGTGTGCGTGCGAGTGTGTGTGTGTGTGTGTGTGTGTGTGAGTGTGTGTGTACCTGTTGATGTCCCGGTCGGTGTCGCTGCAGAAACTGCTGGAGGGTACCCTCACTCGCCTGCTCCATCATCATCAGCCACGGCTCTGTCGACGACATCAACAACAACAATAACAACCACAATAACAACAACATCAACAATTATTGCATCTGTGAAATGTGCTGACAAAATGAATTACTTCTTACAATTTATCAGTATGAAATGATAAAAGACGCGTTAAACTTGAAGAGAATGGCATTGGTTTAGAGTCTACAAATATGACCCTTGTGTTGATTTTTTGCTGATATCTCCATTCATGGATAGCAAGAAGTAACTCATTTTGTTAGCACGCTTCACATATATTTGATAGGAAAGAAGGAGTCAACCACACTAGAGCACCCGCCAACCACCTTCAACTTTTCACATTTGTATACAGTTTAGTTGAACATTGATGCAATAATAGAGATTTAAAAAAATTTTTTAGTACGGGATTTTACGGCGCTCGCAACAGCACAAGGTCATATGGGCGCCAGAAGATTAGAGGTGTTACAAGAGAGTAACAAACATAAAAAAGAAGGAGGGGGAGATAAGGACGATAGATGTTTGATAGGAAAGAAGGAGCAAACCACACCAGAGCACCCGCCAACCACCCACTAATAGAGATTTGGTGAGGAGGTGGGGGCGGGGGGAGGGGGGGGGGGTGTAGACAGCAGAGAGACAGAAAGAAAAGAGTACAACTATGTTTAAGTGTTAGTTAACATCATTTCAACAACTACCTCTTTAGTTTTAGTTTTAGTAAGGTTTTACGGCGCTCGCAACTGCATAAGGTCATCAGCGCCAAGGGGTGGATGTCAAAAGAGAAGTCTTTACAGGGAATCAGGCTTACTCTGCTCACCTCTCTAGCTTCAACAGCACAAGGTCTGCTTCGACTATCAAGGCACCCCAGAAATAGCGGTTCACAAGAGAGTGACAAACATATAAAAAAGTAGACGAAAAACAACGATAGTAAGGAATGAGGAAAGGAAAAGCAGCAATTCCCCCAATGTTGTTTCAGCACAGTGTGAGCATGACATTGATCAATCAGCCCCTTTACTATTCTACTGTGCATAAGAACATGTTCCTATCTCCCCTTTGGGAATGGCATAAAGACAACTTCAACCAGTAGCACTGCCCTGGTCGGGGAAACACCTTGACCAACAACAACAGCAACAACACCACCAACAACAACAACAACAACAACAACAACAGCAACAACACCTCACCGTGTGTGGTGTAAGAGCCCACAAGCCTGATAACATTGGCGTGTGCCGGCAACATCTTGAGAACCTCCAGCTCCGCCGTGAAGAAATGACGCTCTTTCTCTGATGCCTCGCCTGGGGGAACCAACCAGGGAACCATAAGAATGATGATTATAACAATAATAATAATAATAATCTTATTACAATAGATAGAGCTAAGCTCGTTTGTGGGGTCAGTAAACATTCTTTACACAAATGCCCATAAAATCTACAAAAATATGATTCAGACAAGAATTGTCCCAAAGCGTTACATGGGCATATTTTCAAAGTTTGGAAACTATCTTTTGATTTTTCAGGTTTGATGGTTTTTCCTGTAAATCAAAGCCCTCAGACGTTTTTACTCCGCCACTAGCCGTTTCATATTTTACTGGGGACAACTTCCGTTTCATATTGTGCTTCTTCGTGCCAAGTTGCACATCTTATCAAGATGCATTCAACCAACTTGGATTGCTTGATGCTGACACTGAGAAAGATGCAGCAATGCAAGAAGCATTTTCCATAAGATTTGGACCCCAGTTACGTCTTGCCTTTACAACCAGGAGTGAAGGCTGACTTGCTTGACAGGGTAATCAAAGTGAGATGGGACCAGATAGGGCATGGAGATATCACACAAGAATCTTACTCGATGCGGCAACGTTGAGTTGTGAATGAAAACAAATTCTGAATTCATGTAGTATGCATGTTCAACCGCTAAAATAATCGGAAAAGTATCTCATTTCATTAAATATTTACTCCCACAAACATTACATTTTTTCTTTAGATGTGAGTACACAAACACAAAGCAAAGAAGCAGAGATGTCAGTTCTACATGTAACACCAGTGTGTCTAAACTCTTTGGTTAAACATTACAATTATTAATTTTTATTTCACATTTGGCTGTTTTTGTCTAGCGTTTCGCGGCCTGGAGCCGATGTCATAATCGAGGTCACGATCAGATTATAGGACGGTAAAAAGTCGAGGAATAAAAACAAGAATTAGGAGTTAATTCCCCTCACATCTGTGAGGTAGACTCGACCAGTGTAATAGTTCACTTACATAATCAGTGCTTGTGACTGCTTATAACTGTGGCCCGAAAGGGGTGAACAGGGTATAAGTGGCAATGAAACAGCTTTGAGTGCTGTATGCATGTTCCCGTTAACTCTTTAGGTAGACTCTTCCAGCCTCACTGTAAGCTTACTTAATCAAAGCTTGTGACTGCTTATTGAGTGGCCCAATAGGGGTGAACAGGCTATTTCTGTGGCAATGAAACCGTTTTGAATGTTCGGCATACTGTTCATTGGTGATTATGAACGTCTTTTTACATAATTTAATTTATGAGGTTTACGTCTGTGGGTGAATTTGACTGTGACAATGTTTCAAAATTAGGAAGGGAAACAGTGATTATTTGATTGTATAGACGCTTCGCCACTGTTTTCAACCATTCTCATCTATTGCCACCCAGCTGATCCTCTCTCATTTTGGCACAAGTACAAATTGGAACTGTGCCGGGACATCATGATGAGAGACAAGGTCACAGAGTTGAATCCGCAGATTGAGAACCAAGTGTTGCTACAACTTCAGCACATTCTTGATAATGATGGGTTGGATCTGCATAAAGACTTTCAGCTGCCGCCTGCAGAACTCAGTCACGTTGAGGGAGAACAACCTAGAATTGTCACGAGGAGTTACATTTTGACATAGACAACCTACCGAATGGCATCATGCAGAAGAGTTAACGCTCAGATGCTACTGGATCGCTAACAATGACATAGACAACCTGCGAGAGAAGGTGAGTCAAGAGTGCCCAAAGCTTAATGATGAACAAAGAGTCGTGTAGGATGCTGTGATAGAGTCAGTTGTACAGAAGCAAGACAAGATATTTGCCCTGGAGGCAAGTGGAAGGACTGGGAAAAACCCACACTATATAAACCTGATTCTTGCGGCTGTCCGTTCCTTTAAGAAGATCGCCCTTGCTACAGCTCTGTCAGGCATTGCAGCAACTCTGCTCTCAAATGGCAGAACATTACACAGCAGATGCAAAATACCCCTGTGTGTGAATGAACAGTCCATGTGCAGTGTGAGTCCCCGAGATGCCAGTGGTACTTTATTACGCCAAACAGAGCTGCTCATCATTGAAGAAGTACCGATGGGCCACAAACACATCTTTTAGTTTAGTTTAGTTTAGTATGGAGTGTTACGGCACTCGCAACTGCATAAGGTCATATGAGCGCGCGAAACACAAGTTAGTTTTATTCGAAAAAGTTCACTGTGTGGCTGGGCTCGGGTCTTTGAAGCCATAGACTGAACACTTCAAGACATATGTGGGAATAACTCTCTGTTTGGTGGGCTAACTGTGCTGATTTCGGATGACAGGATCCAAATACTACCAGTAGTTCGCCATGGCTCAAGATCACAGAAAATCAACGCAACCCTGAAATCATCATATCTGTGGGAGCATGTTAATGAGCTCCGACATACAAGAAACATGGGGGTTTTGCTTACAGGTGAGACTGCTGATTTCTCCAACTATCTACTGAACATTGATGATGGCAAACACAACATACGCAAGCAAATCGGGGAGTTTGCGATAAAACTGCCACATGACATCACAGTGAACAGCGAACGAGAGTTGATAAATTTTGTCTTCGGTAACTTGCAGTCTAACACAAATCCTGAGTGGCTGGCTTCCCGCTGCATCATCTGTCCCACCAACACAGAAGTAGACAGAATCAACAACCTGATCACGCAGTCCTTTCCCAGAGAAGAAAAAGTCTACAGGAGCAGTGATTCGGTGGGGAAAAAATGAACACCAATACCCCATCGAATTTATCAATTTTCTATGTCCGTCAGGTAGGCCACCCCACTAACTGACATCGCGGAAAGACAGCTTTGTCATGTTGCTGAGAAATCTAGATCCCACAAACGCCACTGCAACGGGACTCAATATGTGGTTCACCACCTTCATCAACATGTTATTGATGCTGTCGTTGCTTGCTGTCCACAGGCCGGAAAGAGACTTTTCATCCCAAGGATTTCCCTCATGCCTTCAGACAACATATTATTTCCCTTTCATATGCCACGGAAACATTTTCCGGCTAGACCTGCTTTTGCAATGACTGCCAACAAAGCTCAGGGACAGACTTTGAAAAGGATAGGGGTTTCTTTACAGGGCGATTTTTTTTCCCATGGACAATTGTATGTCGCGATAAGTCGTGTTGGGTCCAGGGACTCTATTAGGATACATGCAAACAGACCTGCTGCCCAGGACGGAGTTCCAGATGGCGCATATACCAGCAATGTTGTCTACACAGAGGTCCTACGGCAATGAATCAGGTAACGGTACACGTACAAACATTTTATCTTGGGCTTTCCTATCACAATATCACAGTTCGTAGAACGGGTCTGTGTATAGTAATAGTAATAATAATAATAACGATCTCTTTGAAACTTTCAGTATTTCTCAAAAAATCAATTTGGCAGACTGCTATGTAAAGCGTACGGATCGGATTAACGAGTAAATTTCCTCTTTGGAAAGTGGTGGCACAGAGTTCCCCACATAGTATGGATACAATAGTAAAACACGACGTATGGATAGGGTTAAACGAACAAACAAAAGTAAAAGGGTCTTACTCACCTTGCAGTTTCTTAATGATGACCCTCATGACCTCTGTGGAGCCGGGCGACCTTCGCATGCGACCTTTCCAGACCTCGACAAATGCCCCTTGCCCCACCTGCTCCAGAAGACGGACATCTTTGCGGGGAATCTCCCAGCTCATCTTGAGACGTGAGTACTCCGTGGGCTGGGAAAAAATTAGAATTGTGAAGCAGGCTGACAAAATGAGTTACTGTTTAAGTAATAGTTTTACGGCACTTGCAACACAATAAGGTCATATAAGTGCCGAAGATTAGAGGTGTTACAAAAGAGTAACAAACACAAAATAGAAGGAGAGGAGAAACGGATGATAGATGTTTGATAGGAAAGAAGGAGCAAACCACACCAGAGCACCCGGCAACCACCCTCACAAAATGAGTCCCTTCTCATATTTGAACCCTATGGAAATAAATACATTACTCTTATAGGTGAAGTTTTTACAATTTATAAGTGTGAAATAACAAAAGCACTTAAAGAATATGACATCAATAGAAAATCTACAAATTTGACCTAAGTGTCGATTTTTGGCCAATATCTCCATTTGTGGATTACGAGAAGTAACTCATTTTGCAGCACACCTCACAACAGTTTGATGTTTTGGTAAGAGTTTTACGGCACTTGCAACACAATAAGGTCATATAAGTGCCGAAAATTAGAGGTGTCACAAGAGAGTAACAAACATAAAAAAGAAGGAGGGTAGATAGAGACGATAGATTTTTTATAGGAAAGAAGGAGCAAACCACACCAGAGCACCCGCCAACCACCCACCCAACAACCGTTCATGTTTTATGATTTATACATTTTTACTGATAATGTTTGGGTCATCTGGGAAGGTGGGCTGCTCTGGGTTCTTTTTAGTAATCGTTTTATGGCACTTGCAACCCAATAAGGTCATATAAGTGTCGAAGATTAGAGGTGTTACAAGATAAGTTTATAGTTTTAGTAATAAAAAAATTTATGGCAATTGCAACACAATTAGGTCATATAAGTGCCGAAGATTAGAGATGTTACAAAAGAGTAACAAACACATAAAAGAAGGAGGAGAGATCAGGACGATAGGTGTTTGATAGGAAAAAAGAAGCAAACCACACCAGAGCACCCACCACCCACCCACCAGAACTTTGTAAATCTGAGGTAGCGACACTGTAACAAGACAACCAGCACAGAGAGAGACAATGGGAATGGCACAGGCCTACAACACTGCATGCCAAGCAGGACTAGTCTACTCCAGTAGTAAGTGTTTTACGGCACTTGCAACACAATAAGGTCATATAAGTGCCGAAGATTAGAGGTGTTACAAGAGAGTAACAAAGACCAAAAAAAAAAGGAGGGGAGATCAAGGATGATAGATGTTTGATAGGAAAGAAGGAGCAAACCACACCAGAGCACCCACCAACCACCCACTCAAGCAGGACTGAAACGTTAGCTTGAAATAAACAAAGACGCCAAAGGAATCAATGTGAAGTTAGTGGGTCTTCCAGAAAGATACACCATTTAACCTAAATAATAAGCAATTCAAATTTTTGTTCACTCTTTTTTTAAAATAATTTCCTTTCTAAAATAGCTTTTTTGGGGCGCATTTTTCTTTTCTTTCTAAAATAACTTTAAAAGACCCAAACCTTTTTCCTCTTTTATATACTTTTTCTTTCCTTTCCTTTCTAAAATTAGATAATGAGCACTGAAACATTTTTTTCTATTCCTTTTATTTCTTTACTTTCCAAAATAACTTTTTACAAAGCTGTTTTCTTTTCTCTCTAAAATGAAATAAGTAGGAACTTCAACTTTTTATTCATTCATTTCATTTTCTTTTACTTTAAAAGAACAGGGCACAATAACAGCTTCCAGTGCATGGAAAAAGACAGTATACTATGTCTTAAACTGTCAACACTGAAATAGACTGGCGGTAATTACTTTAAACTGTTAACGCTAGAAACAGGGATGCAAACAGGTTTTGGGGGGAAAAAGCCAGAAAATATACAGCGCGCGCAGTGACTGAAATAAGAATACAGTGACACTAAATTATATTTCTTTCTTTCCCTCTATTACAACAAATAATCTCTATTTAGTATATATAATATGTATTGTTTACAGTAGACTTTTGTTAAAAGCTGGGGTCCAAATAGCAAGTCAGCCGGGAAAACAGGAAAAAGCCGGAAGATTTAGATCCCTGTCAAATAGTAGACTGATAGAAAATTATATAAATTGTTAACACTGAAACAGACTCATATTAATTTTTTAAAATAGTTATCTCTGAAATAATAGACTGATATTTAATATTATTATAAATTGTGAACACTGAAACAGACTGATATTAATTTCTTAAAATTGTTATCTCTGAAATAATAGACTGATAGTTAATATCATAAATTGTTAACACTGAAACAGACTCATATTAATTTTTTAAAATAGTTATCTCTGAAATAATAGACTGATAGTTAATATTATTATAAATTGTGAACACCGAAACAGACTGATATTAATTTCTCAAAATTGTTATCTCTGAAATAATATACTGACAGTTAATATTATAAATAGTTAACACTGAAAACAAACACGATTGTAGTGGTCTCAGTAAAGTTACAATAACGCTGAAGGAATTAGAAGACGATACCCACACCCAAGATTTTGTCAACCACCTGCAGACATAT